ACCTGAGAGACGGGAGGAGTCAACAACCAGAAAAATGAGTTTCTTCAGCATGTACAAATATTGCTAGAAAAATCTTCAGTAGGTATCAGGCTGATTGACAGCCATCTCCTTTTGGCTGAAAATGGTAGTGCATCTTGCCCTTGATTTTCACATGACTTTCCTCTGTTTACTACCAGTACAAAGCAAAGACAAGCACTTAGCCTCTGATTTTGTGTTTGGAGTTATTTCCCATTTTACCTTCGCCATTTCCATTTTTCATTGTGTCATGACACTTTTCTGAGCAGATCTGATGGACATTGCTGGTTGTGTGTCAGCATCCAGGAGGAAGAGCTCTGAGGTTTGGTGAGGATCTGGCTGGATCTGGCTTCTCCTCAGAGCTGTTCACGTGGTTCAGTTGGTAGTTCCAGCTGATTTAGTGCTGTGGTGTGCGTACAACCACCCACTTTGCTTCATGTCTGCACCAAGGGTGCTGCAGCCCTGTGCTGTTGAACGTGTTGCTTCTGCTGTCCGGCTCTCTGCCTGTCTCTGGCACAGGTTCCTGCTTTCTCTGCAGGTCTGGTCTGCAATAACATGTGCATTCCTGGACTGTAGAAGGGGAACTGGGACTTGGGGCACCCTCTGCTTGAAATGTCAGCCCCATCTCTGGTGGTAATCACAGGTATGCAAAGTATCTATAGGCATCTCCACCACCTCTTCCCTCCCTGTCATCACAGTGAATAATTTGTCTCCTGTCAGCATCCCAAAACACACTGAAAGATGGATGGTCTGTGTCTTGTGTCTTACCTCTTCAGGCAATCTCTTATGTATTTTAATGAATGTGTCCTTGTTTTGTACTGTCTTTCATTTGTAGCGCCAATCTTTTTGATCCCACGGATAATTAGGATAAAATAGCCCATAAAGCAAATTTTTCACAAAAAAACAGAACAACACCCTTTGACATTGAAAAGAGGGTAAAAAACCCACTGGCTGCAGAACTAGAATGATGCAAGTGCATTTGTATATTTAAAATTTAAAGAAATACATTTTATTTTCTATATATTTAGTGGTCCAACATGAGTTCAGATGAGCCATTGTCTTTTTTTCTCGGATCAGAAAATGAGAACAGAGACTGAATTCCCACTTCAGCAGATGTTTATCTCTCTTCTTAAGCAATGTGGCTGTATAATGATTTCTGTGATGATCTGAGAGATCTTGTAAGATTAGAACTATTAAGAGCAAGTGTTCAGCTCTTCCATTTGCAGAGACAAGGTTGAAGAGAGGGCTCAAAGAGCATGAGACTCAAGGAATGGAAAGGTGATGAGAATCCGGAATTGGATTGGTTTGGGAGCTGCTTTTTAGTTGTTTTTACAGTTGAGGGTAGGTGGAGATGCTGAAAGTCTTATTTGTGCTTTTGCAGATTTTCAGATTTCTTCTCTTTTCCAATAGAATAGAAGGCAGAATCATGTAGGAATTTCCTGAAAATGTACTGGTTTATATTATGAAACATGCAGACTTTCTGGTTTTGTTGACTTTCTCATAAGCAGCAAGAGTAAAAATTGCAGTGTTGTTTTATTAGGGGTTGGGTATTACCAATAGGAAAAATAAATAAATAGGAGTTTCTTTACATTGTCAGCCTTGAGTTGCCTGGAAACTTCTTGGGATTTGGAGTTTTTTTTAAATAGCACATGAAAAAGTCCTACTCAGCTACAAGAGTCTGTGAAGGTCTGCTGGCCGCAGAGGGACCCTCCCAGGCCATTTAAGCCAAACATAGACTTTACCAGTTAGAAACCTCTTGTTGTTAAAGGTCCAGATTAAATTTTTGTTGAGATGAGATTGACACAGGCAGGCTAATTTGATCTGCAAGAATAAGGGTAAGGAGAACTCCGTAGCAAATCTGTTCTTATTACTAAAAATTGATTTTGACCTTTGTAGAGATACTAATTTCACCTTCTGTTAAAATAAAACTTTGGATGATTGCTCCAGGTCTGGCATACAAGACTTGAAAAATTCATCAGCGATCTTGATTTGTTTTGACATGTTTTTTGGCCTTCTACTGAGTTTTATATTTCTGTTTTTCCTAAGTATTTGCTTGCAGGCAATGTTGTTTGTTTGTTTGAATCCTCACTGTCTTTGCGGTTGAGTAGTGTTGCCCACAGGTCCCAACACTGTTCTTCTTTCTTATATAACAGGACTCAAATAATGAGACAATAATCATAAATGAGATTCCAATAATAAAAATGCCTTTCCAATTCTGTAATCTGTAGGACTTCCTTGCTGCTTTCTTTCATAAGGCTTTGCTTTTTTTCTGATTTTTATTCATTCATAAGTTAGAGTATTTTCTTAATTTGCCATGCTTATTTAGACTACTTCAGTGCCTTTGGCTCCTGTCATTAGGATGGCTTAGTGACAGTCTAGAAAATAGTTCCTATGACTTTGACAACAAAGTCTTCATAGAAACCTTATTCTCATAAACTAACTCATTTGCAGTCATTCCAGGCAGAAGAATGATCCACCCTCCACCCATATTCAAGGGTCAAGCAAAATGTCTGGACTATGCTCAGTTGTCCCACATCAGAGAATAGGTCCAGGCAGGTTTTCTGGGACAGAATTTCTTCTATTGATGGTTTATGTCAAGAACTGGTAGCAAAATCTCTTTTAATTACCATATGAGGCAGACATTGAACTGTGTGTTTCAGGTAACTCTGGCGAACAGATGCAGAGAATTCATGCAAAATTCAGACCAGAACTAATTCATTTAATTGAAAAATTTAGGAATCACTGCCCTGTTGAGTGGGTATGAGTTAAAAGATAATGCTCCAGTATGCATATTACCTTGCCCAGGTTTTGTATAGTGAAGAACCAAACAGATTTTTCTCTGAAATCTTTATTTCTTCTGACACATTTTGCTAACATCTCATCCTAAAAATGTGGATTGATTTTGTTCCAATATTTGCTTAATTTTTCTTAAATAAACTCTGGATCTAAAGAATAAGGAAAAAAGATATCTGACCTCCCCAGTTGTATACACTGCTTTGGTTTGCATTGATATTTGGAAAAGGAAAGAAGAGAGTAACAGAATTTAGTCCAGTGTATACCCAAAGCCATCTGCTCCTCTCCTTGCAGCCCTTAGATTTTTATAGCATGACAGGGTGAACATGGAATGTCTGTCCTTCCTTCAGGACTGTATCTGCTGTCCTTAAAGTGAGAACAGAATGAAGGCAAGACATGTTGTGGGCAGCCACAAACTTCCACTGGTTTGTAGCCTGGTTTACATACTCTCAGTACTTCCCAAAAAACTTGGCAATCCTTAGCCCTCCTGGAAAGCCGTTGTGGGGTGATGCTGTGCTGCTGTCACAGAGTACAGCTAAGGAACTTGGGATCCTTCAGGGGCAGGATTACCATTTCTCAGGGCTGGCTTAACCCAGCAGACTATATCTCTCTGGTTGGACAGAGCCCAAAGAGGCAATATAAAGTAATACATTTTTAATACCTGGAAGACAGAAAGCTTAATGAATAAGTAATAAGTTGCAGCACTTTCCTCTTCTTAGAAAAAATAGACTGGCTGTATTTTTTAAAGTTTTCCTTCATGGAACATTTTTCTCCTGTTGCTCTTTTAAAGTATCCTAAAATGCTGAAATTTGGGACTGATTTTAGAGAAACTAAGGAAGTTATACCACTGCCATCCAGGCTGAGAAAAGGAAAGCAGAGATTTTTCTGGAGAGAGCTTTTGTGGATTTTGCTAGTGGGTAGGGAGGGTCTGGAATAGATGAGTGATTGCTCCACTGCTTCCAGCAGCATCTCCCTAGTAATGTAGCACAGGAGACCCTAATGTGTGCCTGCAGAGATGGGGGCACACAAACAGGTACAGCAACGCTCTCATCATCAGGTTAACAAAACTCTGGTGTCTCCCAGGTCTCACACCTGTGTTTTGCTGGCAGCATAAGCCAGTGAAAGTTTTTTAAACAAGCACAGTTAGTCTGCAGTTTAAAAAGAAGAGTGGGGTGGGGTTTTATCACTGGCCACCAACACTCTGCTGACATGGGTCCCATCCTTGATCTCTAGCAGTATCCAGGCTGGGCAGTGCTAAGCCCTTTGGAAATCCAACAACCACGTTTGGAGATCACCTCCTGTTTGAAAGGATGGTTTCTCTGCAGTTATGGCATGATTCCAACCTGGATAACTCTGTTCTACCTGCTTAAAATCCCTCCCCCACATTTTCATGGGTATGGCATGAACCCCTCCTGTTCTGCATTGTTGCAATGTTCCCCTTTCAATTTCATACCACCTACTTGTAAGTTGATTTCTAGGTCATCTGTACCCCCATTTATTAATCAAGCTGGTTTCCTTGTAATTATTTCAAAGGATCTAAGTGTGACAGCAGTAAGTATGTGCACAGCCCTGGTGTGCAGTATCTCCTCTTGGTTTCTATCTGCATCACCAGGAGGTTCTGATCCCTCCATATTCCTTTTACCAGTGAGGTTTGGGGTCATCCACATTAGTCTGAATTGACCTATTTCCCTCTGTGACTGTGTCCTTGTTGGTAGTAGAGCTGGAAAGGCTGTCCTTGAGAAGAAGGGGGAACTGGTGTTCACTGAAGATGTGGAATCCACTCAAAACCTAGGGATCTGTTCTGTACATATGCATTTCCTTCCACAGGTGGCTTGCTAGAGAATATTATCACAGAGATTATATTTTGTGACTCAAACTTCCACACAAAGTCTGTACCTCTTCTTTCATATTTCTTTTTTTTTTCCCTCCCTCTTGGCATGTCAGTGTTTTCATTAATGCATCAACAACACAGGAGCTTTGTTGCTTTGTCCCCAGTATTGTTTTCTCCACCCAGACCTGAGAGCTGGGAGATCCTTGAAATCTGTATCTTTTTTGTGGCTTTCAGGCAGAATTGGGTGCTTCACTTTCCTCCCTGCCTGCTAGTATTTCTCCTCACACTGTAAAATCAATTAGTTCTGGGTACTTTTTCTTAAATCTGACTGCTGCTAACACTGTGTTTGTTTCATTAACAGATTAACTTCACAGGAAACCTGTCATCGAGAAACCTGACTGTGAGAAAACTCCAGTGAGAAGCTGAGGACAAACAACATCTTGAGGACAGTCCATGGGGACTGTACCAGATCCTGTGAGATCTGCCAAGCTTTCCCTGGTCTCAACTGCTGCAGAGGAGGAACACCTGGGAGACCTGCAGCCTGCTAAGCACCAGCCCCAGCCCCCCAGTGGCGAGAGGACCAGCAATGGCATCCCCTGCACACCGTCCAGCTCAGCTGAGGTTTGCTTGTTCGACCTGAACTGCGCAGGTGCTGCCAGCACACAGAGCTGCCAGCAGTGCCACACAAATGATGACAGCCAGCAGGAAGCCTTTTCTCCCAGGGTGGCCAGCACAACTGCAGAGGGGCATCCTGCAGATGTAAAGCCTACTGGTTGCTCCCAGCCAGCGGGCATCCAGGCACCGGCAGCGCCAGCTCTTGCTGCAGTGGGAGCCCTCTTGGTGGGGCAAGGGCCAGAGATGATGCCAGCCCCCCAGAGCTCCCGGCAGTTTGTGCAAGGCAGCCAGGCTAAATCGAGCTCCCTGACACAGATAGAGGACTCTGCTTTGAAACCTCAGGGAGCTGATGATCAGCCAGCGCTTGAAGTGTTAAATTATTCTTCCCTGGGTGATCCTGTTGGGGTTAATCAATTCTGTCATACTTCTCAGGCAAACCTTCTGCAAAGAGGGGAAAAAGACAGGGCAGCAGAAAAAAATGGTTCTGCTGTGTGTCAGTCAGCCTTGCCAGCAAGGCAAACCGCAGCTGACCTGGGGAGAGACCCGCAGACCAGTCTGGAGGCAAACAGCGGGACTGCAGACACGGCGCAGTTGCATCCCCCAGATAAAACTGAAACAGTGCAGAGCAGCGAGGCACCAGCCCAGTCTGGCCACGGGAGTCCACATCCTGTACACAACCTGGACCCCATGCCTGGGAGTGCAAACCCCACCCAGCTTTCCAAATTCAAAGAAACAGGTACAATGACAGCTCAGCCAGAGAGCAGCCCTTTTACTCAGGAAGCTGTAAGCAGGACATGGCGGGATGCTGAGGTTCAGGCCGTGGCTACTGTGGAGAGCAAATCAGCTTCCACCAGTCCCAGCATCTTTGCTGCCTTCTTAAAAGGGAATCTTCCTCCAGAGGAGAAGGAAGAACTGCACATAATTTACCAAGGAGGTATGGGGCAGAGCCAGGCTGCACTTACTGACAGTTTATCCTCACAACAAAAGTTGCCATGTTCTCCTGGTATCACATCAAAATCGACTCTTGTGGCTGTGACTGCTTCAGCCCAAACCCAGCCTGTCAAACTGCCTGGGGTCCCATCTGACGTGGCATCTCCGGTGTCAGCAGATAATGCAAAACCTGTTCTCCCCTGCTCCTCTGCAGCTGTTACCTCCCCAGGAACATCTGTGGGTGATGCTGAAATGACCAGTACAGCCCATGATGTCAGGGATGCTGCTCAGCTGCCAAAGGATGCTCCAGTCCCACCAAAGTTCACCCCAGTTGAGCAGCTTGGAGTTGACTCCAGTAATCACCCTCCATCACAGTCTGGGACTGGCACTGGTGAGCCAAGCACCGCTTCCACTGATGCTGTCCCAAAAACCCAGAACAACACGCGACATCTCGTCCCTCATGCAGCTATCAGCCGCTCAGCTTTACTCTCTGGCAAGGACAGTGAAGTCAAGCAGCAGGAGGTCCTGGGCAGCTCTGAGCAAAAGCCTGTGCAAAGCAATGGTGTGAGTCAAGGGCAGGCCAGTCCTAATCAATCTGTGGTAAAACCAAAGGAAGAAGACTTGGTGGTGCTTGATTCTAAAGGAGGACTGAATGTTGGCAGCCATCCTGCCACTGGCCATGCAAAGACGTGCTCACAGGATGCAGGTGAGGAGAGCAGAGGCCACGGAGACAGCGGCCAGTCTCAGATTGCTGGTGGCCAGAACCTGCAGGCAGGACTGATGCCCGAGCTGAGTGTGAGTTCTGCAACTCTTGCCCCTCCCATGGCAGCATCAGCAGCTCCCCAGCAGCAGGGCCCCCAGGCCAGGGAGTCCAAACACGATCTCCACACTGCAGTGATTCCTGCTTCCTCTCAGGCTGTGCCAAACCTGGGGGAGAACAAAAAGCACTCCACCCCAGCCACGGAGGCGAAAGTACAGGTGAAGCAGTCCAAACACGTCAGGGATGTTGTTTGGGATGAGCAAGGAATGACATGGGAGGTTTATGGCGCTTCCCTCGATCCAGAATCCCTGGGAATTGCCATCCAGAACCACTTACAGAGACAAATACGGGAACACGAGAAACTGATCCGGGCCCAGAACAGTCAGACCCGGAAATCCATTTCCTCAGATACATCCTCAAATAAAAAACTGAAAGGGAGGCAGCACAACATGTTCCAGTCCATGCTGCAGAATTTTAGGCGTCCTAATTGCTGCGTCCGACCTGCTCCCTCTTCTGTGTTAGACTGACGTGGTTTGCAGGGGTGCCTAAATACCTGCAGTGGAGAGAATCCCTCCCCTCAAGTCCTGCTGTTTGATTGTGTAATTGGGGTTGTGATGCAACAGTGGAAAATTATTCCCCTTTGTTTTCTGACTAGCCACATGCTCCATCCTGCCATTATTATTGTCACAGCTGGTGTATTTCCACATTATGCCCCAACCTTGACTGCTGTCAGATGAAAAGCTAGGCACTTAGCAAAAGCACAAATTTCAATTGCCACCTTGCTGCAGGGAGAGCAGCACCTTCTGATAAAGCAGGAAGCAGAGGGATTGTCAGAATTATGGGAATTTATTTATGTGCATTATGAGGTCTTACTCAAAGGGATGGACTGGGGGAAGCTGAGGGAGGTGGAATTTAGGTTCAACAGCTGTAAAGACCTAACATAAGACAACTTTCCTGGTTTGTAAGTTACCTGTGCTGAGGCAAGTCCGTGAACAGGCTATGGACACTGATCACTGAGCAGCCTCCCTTCTGTCGATACTGTGGGCTGCTGTTCTCAGGCAAGCCCCAGGGAGCCCGGTCTTCCCCTCCTTCTGAAATGCAGAACCAGGCAAAGAATGAGGATCAAGACTGAAGGATTCTCTTTGGGAAAAGCTAAGTCAGTGGGATGCTGATGGCCAGAAGGGGAGGTGAGAGAGATGCTTTGTGTCCCCTGCAGTGGCCACTCTTAAGGTATAAGCCGTTCGAGGCATGGGAGAGCACATCAGTAGATGGACCTGCATCCAGCAGGATGGTGCCCACCCTTACTCTGGTACTCCTGCCAAGTCTTTAAAAAGCAGAGAGTCATTCTGCCTCCTCAGGCACAGTGGGCAGCCCCTGCTCCCAGCCTCCCACAGCGCTGAACACCTCTCTTCTAAATCACTCTTCAAACAAAGTGATGTGGATCTTTCTTCTCTCTCCAGAGATGCACAGTAATGTTTTCCCATAGCAGCAGGCTTTCCTGTGCATTGGGGTCCATGAGCCTCTATGTCTAGTGTGTTACACTGATATTATTTTTCCCTTTTAAGTACTTAGCCAACTCTGCTGGGTTTTTTTCAGTATTTTGGTGCTTTTCTTGATGCCTTTCATAACCTGAATACCATTTATTTAGTCTGTGTGTTGTTTTATTTTACCTAATGCTCTATATTATGAACCATTACACTGTTAACTTGAAAAATTTGCAGCAGTACCGAAATCTTGAGACAATCTTTGCTGTATTTCTGAACTTAGTTGTAGAAACTGCTAATAAAAGGTAGCTTAGTGACTGTTTCTCCAGAAGTATGATATACAATAATGTCTCAAATATATGTTGGTCTCATTTCTCAATACTTCTAAACTTGGGAAATGTGTTTCCCAGTAGCTTTGTGTTTTGTCCACTAGAGTTCATTATGGGAGGCTGGGGAACTCCTTCAGTTTGTAGAAAATTTAGTTATAAATCCTCCAAAGCACTGATGATTTGGATATTGTAATCCTGCAGAGTACTAGAGTTAAATAGGAGATACTTTTAGTCCATTAAAGATTTTTCATGAATCATGATGATAATTTATTTCTGTCTCTAGTACCACGCACCTGACTCGCTCTGTAGCTCTTACTCTTACAACTTACTCTAAATCTTACAGGTTTACACCATGTAAATGAGTATTAGGATCTTTTTTTTTTCTTTTTTTTTTTTCTGTCAACCTGAAGTGGTCCCTAGTTATTTAGGAGGCCAGACTTCTTGAGTATATCAACTGCCAAGCTTTCATAGTAGCTATTTGGGGTCAATTTTTCCCCAGCAGGAAAGTAAAATACTGTAAAATACAACATTTTAGCCCACTGCAATGAAAAGTGTTGCCCCTAAGCATAGGACTGAATTGACTTCTAGTTTTCCTCAGATATATACCAGGGGGCTTTATGTCACATCCTTGTTCAATTTCTGTATGTTGTTTCAAGTCCTCTCCTACTTATGGTGCTGAGTTTTTAATTCTGAAGCACCACATATGAGAGTGTCTTCCCATCTCTGCCTACCAGGAGGAAAGTCTTTAACCTTTTTTCTGTTAGTACTGCCCTGTTAGTTAGTTTCCACCCCCTTCCTAGCAGTGTCTGAGATGTGAGTTTCATGTGAAATTTTGTGTGGGATTAATATTGACAGTATCATTAGGTCAGGTTAATTGACAAGTTCAGTGTCTCTTCCCACATTGTGTCTGTGTCAGCCCTGACGAGGTTCCCCAAGTTGTCTGCAGTTTTTGCTGTGTCCTGTCCAGGTCCAAGGCTGCATCTTTTGCCTCCCTTCTGCCCCTTCCCTTGCTAGCTGTTGCCCAGCCTGTCTTCCTCTGAAGCTGTGTCCCTTGGCTCAGCTTACGTCCCCCTCTGCATTCCCCTTGCTGTAGCTGTGAGTCAGCTTACTCTGAACTGTCCCTTTACAAATATGCTCAGTCTGGATATGCAAATGGATTGTCCTATTTTTTTCTTCCAGAGGAGAATAAACAGCTGTCATTCATTCACTGATTTCCATGAATTTTATCCTACAGCTTCAGCTCTGCAAAGTATTTCTAGGACATGTGTATGTGTTGCTTTATTGAGACCAAACTAGGCTTGGCAATGAATGAGCTGGGGCAGCACTGGACTTACTGCTTTTTTGCAAGGAATGAGAGATATCTCCTGGTTCCTTGCAGGTTCTTTCAGCTGTGAGTCTTCAGTGGCTGGACCACCCTCCCTTCCCCACACCAAATGACCTTCCTTCTAGGAAAATTTCACCAGTGCATTCATATTACAAAGCGCCAATGGACAAGTTACTGGGTGGGCGCATCTGAACAGCTGCATGGGCCTGACTGAAACAAAATGAAGTGCTCAGCCTGTGTTCTGGGCAAATACGAGTGCAAAGATGGAAATTGTCCATGGCACTGTCTGGTGGCTGCAGAAGTCCTGCAGATGTGTGTTGGTAGCCAAGCAATAAAGTGCCAAAAGCCAACACATAAAAATGAGTCGATAATCACCAGCACATCTCATGGAAAATATTTTAGGTTTTGACTGTGCCTTGCCAGGGCAGACTGTAGGTAACTCACTAGTTTAACACTGGTGATTAGTGCTTTCTCTTGCACACAATGTCTAGGTGACAGTGTGAATCCTCACTGATGACAACATCTTTCACCAACAGCAAAACAACCACGTTTGGGGGTAGCAATTAGCAAGTATTGCATTTGATAGCAATTACGCATTTGAGTGGGCTTGTAGCAGCCAAGAAAGGCTGTTCTGGGTGTCAGTCTCAAAAATGAAAATGTGCTTGTAGTAGTGATGTGGCAGATTAGGGGGAGATGATCCACGTGCCACCACCCCATTATTTTTCTCTGTACAATGACTCAGAATCACATTGCATTTGGATGGGTAACAACCAAAGATATCCATTTGGGCTGATAAAAAGAGGGTTCAGGACAGAAAATACATTGTCATTCCCAGGAGCAAATCTATATGAAAAAAAAAAAAAACCAAACCTGCCTAGCCAGTTGAAGTACTCTTAAATTCATTTCTTTGCAAGATGAGAGACTTTGGGAAACAAGCTCATTGTCAGGAAACCCCTCCCTGCCAGTTGCATCTTCTAGGAAGGCTGATGTACCAAGAACCATTAGTAAAAACAGTGAATAAGAATGGAAGATTTGCTTCTAGTTTCACTTAGGGGGCTTTCCACTAGCTAAGATGAGAATAAGCACATTTCAGTGTTACCAATACATACCTGAGTTGAAGGAGTATCTCATTGCAGGCAGTTTGTAATATAGTCCTGGATTTCATGTGAGGCTGTGATATCCATGTGAGTGTGACAACCATGTGTGCACTTGGTTGAGATCTGCCAGTTTTATGTTGTTTGGGCACAAGTGTTGAAGTTCTGCCTCATTTCTGTTGACTTGGTTTGGCAAAAAAGAGTGGAGAAGGAGCTGAAGGGACAAGAAGGGGAATATCTGTCTTCTCCATTTCAGGAGAAGAAAACATTGTTTTGAATACAGAAGAGGAAATTGCTGAGAAACATGGGGAGGGAAGGACAAAAAAGTAAAATAAAGCTGGTGTAGGTGCTTCACAATGAATTCCCATTCCTATGTTTGTTTTGCCCACTTGTTTTCTGACCTCACCTGGCTTTTTTTATTAGTTGGTGTCCCATGTCTTTTAGGAAAATGAATATTTCCAAAGGCTGTATATTTTGCTGGTATTTATAGATATATCCAAATAGGATTCAACAAAACCTCTAAGAAGTCAACTTGTTTATTACTGCCACTAAAACAGAAGAGCTTGTAAAATGCACTGTTTGAAGTATACTGAAGGGATTCAAAATTAATATATGCTCTAAAGATAGCGCTACCTTTTCTCTTGAGTTTCATTACTATGTTGAAGTGTTAAAGTTAGAAGTGGAAATTCAAATGAAAATCAGTTTTGATGAGGAATTCAGATTGGTTTTCAGTTTGGAAACTTCATGGAATGTACCATACCAGTGTTTCATTAGGTAGCTCAGTATGTGTAAGGTTTGTATGAAAGTACAAATTTTGTTAACTTATTAGCTCCATTATCTTGTTCTGTGTCTATCCTTCTACACTTTTTAAAAATTAACACAAAATGCTACCACAACAGAGTAATTTTCACACAGCTTGTGGGAATGGCTGCTCTGAATGACAGAAAACTGATTGTCAGACTCTTAGGGCTTAGAAAGTTAAGGGCTCTGGTCGGAGGGACACTCTTCCCTCCTTTTCCTGAACTCCCTGTCTCACTAACCAATCTTGGTTGGTTTATTTTTTGGAGTCTCTGTGATGCCTGTATGAGTGGTCAGTGGTCCCAAAGACATGCAGGTAGATCCAAATACTGCGCACTACAAAATATCTCTGGTGCTATTGGATGCTGTGGTGTGACCCAAAGGTCAGGTCCTGTTACTTGAACTAGCTTAATATTCTCTTAGGGGCCTAAATTAATTAATGGGATTAAAATCCCACTTGAGTCACTGTAGATGTTTAAAAGGAAGACTGAAGTATTACAGCTGAATTGAGCCAAACTCAAAAACTTTTAAACTCTGAGATTTATTGTTTTTTCTGCTTTGTGTTTTTCTGAGTAGCTCTTCCTTCCTAGTTTATAGTGTGAATTTTGCATCAAATCCTGGCAAAGAAGATTTTGCAAAGTGAAACCTTCTTTTCACCATTCAGGCTTCTTTAAAGAAAAGTGATGTTATTACTGAGACAAATCACACAGAGAGGAAATATTTTTTCCTCTAGGAAATCTTCTGATGTAGGTAAGCTTATGTGTGTGTGTCCTTGTTTAAAAGGCAAGTATATGTGTGCAGGTCTCATGCATCACTCATGCTCTAATATGATTTTTTCCCTTTGCCCTTCTGATTGAATGCTGGAGGCTTAGCATTTTCCACAACCTTGAGGCAGTTTAAATCTTTCTCCTTCTCTGGTCTCTAAAAAGCAGGCTCTGGGTGATAGGAAGCATCTGATCTCCTTAGGAACAGAATCATGTCAACTAATCCCCATTTGAAATATCAGACCTTAAGTTTTTGTTAGCTTTCTGCTAAGACTGACACTCCTTGGAGTAGAAATAAAAGAAAAATCTGCTTGCAAAGTCTCCAGCAGTTGTCTGCTGCAGAATCCTTCTGCGAGGGTCCTCCTGACAGTTCCCTTAGCTCAGTTCACAATCAATAGTTTCAAGCACATCAAAAGCAAGTTTAGACACTGCCCTGAAGAATTTCCATAAAATGGAAGAGAGCCATTTGTGTGTGTTTGTGGCACATAAAATCACCGAGTCTGCATTGTGAAGTAAAGGTCTCAGTGACACTGAAGAGTATTGGGAGTTTCTACCCAGAATTAAAGGTGGGGAGTGTATCTGAACTTCTAATTTCAAAAAACTATGGCCATGAGTCAGCCAGCATCAGAAAAAAAAAAAACAACTTGGAGGCTTCTAACAACAGCTGTTATTGTGGCTTTATTAAATTTATAGTTACACTGATTGAACGTGATGTACTGTACAAAATAAAGCTAGTCTTAGGCTACCAGGTGTACCATGGCATTCATTTGAGACATATCAACAGAAGTTTGCATGTGAAAAGTCTTAAAGTGATACTAAAGCAATGTTACCCACCTGATTGAGTCCCTTAGGAATTTAATGTTTTGCTGTTTTACATCTGGTTTCCATGCTGAGTACAATAAAATGAGCACTGTCTTAATTATTCTGGGTCTCTGTTTGTAGGCTGACATGGGAAAAGAAAGGACTTTTAAGGATGAACATTCTGCCTGAATTTATGAATGTGTGTAAGAGCAGCTACAAAGGGCTTTATGGATTCAGGCCTGAGATCTGGCACCTCGCAAAGCTCAGCCTGCTGGTGTAAGCTTCCATGTGCAGTCCCTGCCGGAGAAGAGACCAGTCTGCTTCCTTCTGTGTTAGTGCAGTGGCCTTTGCACAGCTGCTCACGAGCACAGGCTCTTCTGCATCAGCTGCTGCTCCGCCCTTCCGCACAAATGCACTCAGCCTTTCAGCAGCCCCCTGCCACACAACACATTGCTCACCCAGCACAGCCACCCCTGAGCGTTTTAACCCTGCCGTGTCACTGCTGCAGCAGTGCCTGCACGCCACACACAAAGCCGAGAGCATCGGCATCACCGTAATTATTTTTCAACCCAAAAAAGGGGAAGTTCTGTCTCGTGGTACAAAACAGCATAAGACAGCATGTTATGGAAGTATTTTGACCCAGTGCTGTAACAGATCTGGTGTATCTATGTACCTATCTTCTAGAAGGCATGAGGACCCCACCTTGGCAACACTTTACTATGATGAGAGGACAGGAGCAGAGCAGACTGAGATAATGCAGTTGCATGGTGCCTCTGCTACCACAGATGTTCTGTCTGCTCACCCCAAGCTGGAGACTATTCCCAAAAATAGTTGTTTGTGTTTCTCTATTTGTGCCTTGTAGTTGTCAGGGTGCTTCAACTAATTGCCCAGTCCTTCTGGCAATTGCAGAAGGTATTTTATTAATGAGCTTCGCTGGATTCCTTGTCCTGTGGTTCAGATTTGTGCATGCCAGTGTCTGCCAAACATTAGTCCCCAAGCTGCCAGAGTGGGGTGCTTCCCTGTGGCAGTCTGGTTCATTCAGCTCTGTTCTGTAATTGTTAAGGTCTCCTAGTAGGCTGGAAAGCTGAGGTCTCCCTTTTGTACTTCATCCTTGTAGCCTTGCTGCAGTAAGGAAAAAGCCTAAAGATCCCTCACCCTGAGGGGACTGACCCAGCAGAAAAAGGATGAGTGCAGAAATAAGCTATCATCCTATCAAACCAATGATGACCAGTGCACATTTTCTGGCTGATGCAGACTTTGTCATGTAACATGGCAGTTTCAGGGAGATGGTGCCTTCAAAAACAGAGAATAAGTCTGGCTTCTTGTTCAAACATCAACTGATTTACTGAGGATGTGAGCTTTCCAAACAGCCACACTACTTCCCTGGGTATCTATTTCATTTAACCTGCTAGAGAAACCGTCATGCCCTTAGGGATTCAAATGTCACCAAAATCTGTGGCAGGTGTTTCCACTCACAATAGGCAGTATTGTGAGGGAAGGGAAGATTTCCTCAGCAAATTTGAAATTACTTCTATAAGAACCATAAAATTACTAGTTTGGCTAGCCAATGTTTTAAAATGTAGGCACTTAACATCTGCAACCTGAGAATTTAAAGAAATACGACCTCATTGGTGAGAAGTGTAGGGTGCTCTAGTCTCCTACTAAGGCCAGGTCATGGAGACCAGTGGATGCTTGAAATGTTCACAAAGCAAGTCACTGTTGATGAGACACCTATATCCAGTGTGACAGTAGGTAATTCATTGTAGGTAGCTCTCAGTAGTAATGACAGTGCAGACAATCAACAGAAAGCTGCCAGTGCAAATTAGGAAATGGTGATTGTACGGTGATTATATGGATGGTTAGCAGGACTACCTTAAGCGCTGTGTTCAGTTCTGGGCTTTAAAATGTCCATCGAGGTGCTGGAATGTTGCGAAGGATGAAAATCTAATAGAAAAGTTTTACAGATATGAATGCTTAGCAGAAGGTTCTCTAGAAATGAAAGCAAGCTTTGATATATGAAAGATGGTTTTAGGGCCAGTTATTGCTGAAACAGCTGAGAGAATAAAGGTTTAGTCCTGTTAGAAGGTTTAGAGCAAAGGTTTAGTCAATTTGGAAGGGGGTTTTATGGCTAAGGTCCAACAGGTTAAGTGGTCTTTGAACAAAGCATGTTTTCTACCATGTAAAAAAGCATAGGTAGATAGAAAGATGTTTTTTACCAAAGCAAGAAGAATTTTTGACTGCAAAACAAGTTTCAGTATTTAACATGTAATTACTAACTCAGATGATTGGTTAGTCACTAACATAATACAGTAATTTTAGCAGTTTTGATAAGTTATATGTAAATGTAAAGGTATTGTGTGTCATGCTGATTGGTTGTTATGTATTAAGATGCTCAGCAAAGAAAAATATATAATGCATTGTAACCAGAACTAAAGTGAGCTTCAGGACACACAGCTTGCCTATAGCCAGCAGCTGTAGGCTCACCCATGACCCCCAACTGCTGTAACCTAGTCTATGCAATAAACAGCATTTTAAAGAAGAGCTGTCTGAAGTCCCCATCTCTCCGTCGGGCTCTTACACTGGAGCACGTCCAGAGAAAGGCACGAAGGCTCGTGAAAGGTCAGAGAACACGCTTTATGTCTTATAAGCAGCAGCTGAGGGAGCTTAGGTTGTTTTGTCTGGAGGAGGTTCAGGAGGCACCTCATCCTTCTCTACAACTCCCTGAAAGGAGGCTGTAGTGAGGTGGGCACTGGTTTCTTCTGCTGTGCCTGCAGTGTGAGGACCAGAGGAAATGGCTTTGAGACACAGGAGATTCAAATTAGATATCAGAAAAATATTTTGCACTGTTAGCGTGGTCAGGCACTAGAATAGGTTGGCCAGTGAGGTGATGGAGCCATCATCTCTGGAGGTGCTCAAGAGGTGTCTGGATGTGGTGCTGGGTGATGACTTAGGAGTTACCATGGTAGTGCTGGGTAGATGGTTGGACTTGATGATCTTAAAGGTGTCTCCCAACCTTGATGATTCTAAGACTCTGTGGTATGCCCCATTGTTACTCATATTTCAGCAGTGTTTGTTGGAGTGCTTGTGTCACATGGCACATCTTTTTCTAAAGTGTCCTTTGCACTTACTATAGACAAATTAAGTGGGATCAACTGCTTGGGAGAGCGGGTGCCAGCCTACAAAAGCATTTGCCTTTGCTGTGCCATCTTAGTGATGAATTAACTTTCTTTTTAAAAAAAAGTTTTCTAATAGCCTGCTGTGGACTGCAGCACAAGGAAGGGATTTGGGTCATTCATGCTGAGGTTTTGCCTTAATTCCATAATGCTTTTTATTTCTTTTCCTAATTAGAAACCTGCTCATGGCAGTGTTTTTTCTCTCAATCCACTTACATAACATCAGACATAAGTGAGCTGAGCAGTTAAGGACATTTTTCTCATGGGCTGGTGAAAAACACCCTGGCAGCTGGAGCACAACCACTCGGCACCCACCTTTCCCTCAGCACTTGGTGGAGAATGGCTGGTGTGCAGGAATGTCTGCTGGGTTCTGCAAAGCCCCCACGTCTGGCCTGAGCCAGGAACTGCTGGACTGTATCACCCTGGCTGCAAGAAGGAGGAGAGACCAGGTCTGCCTGGGAACTGGCAGAGGTGAGGCCATCCCCCTCCTGGGGTTTGGGAGCTACTCATGTTTCTTCCCTTCTTGTGTCTCTTACTTCTTACAGCTACTGGGCTGCCAGTCAATGAGAGAAATTGCATAGGTTTAGTAAGTCTTAAGCTAGGGAAAAGCCTCTGGGGAGATACTGTCTCTATGCATTGGATTATTCACCCTCCTCCTGGGCTCCCCTTAAGGTTTTGGACACTCTGAGTGCCTGCTCTGTAGGCAGAGGCTGGTGGACAGGCATTCCCTTTTTTTTCTGGCTGCAGGAGAGAAAAAATGGGGAATAAATACAGCTGACACTTGCTCAGGCTGTATCCAAATATCTCCCTGCACCCTGTGTGACTTCTCTGGCTATTTAAAGGAGAAATGCTGGCTAAGGAAGCTAAGATATGTAGAGCAGTTTAAGTAAGCCCCCTGTAATGAGTCCTACAAACTAAATAAGGCAAATGCAAAATATGCTCTAATTTTGGTTCATTACATGAAATATCCTTTATTACAGGTTTATCTCTTGCCTTCACTGACATGGCCTCACTGCATGCTTACATATTTCCCTGCTGGGAAAGTCTTCCTGGTATTCACCCTAACTTTCCTGCAGTGCAGCTTGTGCATTGACAGACTATACCTCCTTCCTGCTCTCATCTTATTTTAGAGAAGTATAATGCACTCACTGTAGCTGAAGCTCTCTGGAAAGCACTGTCCTCTGCATTGTCATCTTGGGCTTTATTATCCTGGGAGCTGACAGTGCTGTCTCTCCTCCCAAACTCACCTGCCTTTCCAGCTTGGCTCAGCTGATGATGAAGGACGACAGCTCAAGAGTGAAGTTGTTGGTTTTCCACTCTCGTTTGCTCCTCACTTGTTGGACATTGCTGTGAGTGATACTGGCAGCTGCCTTGCATTTCCTAAGGTACATTCCTGTGCTTTGGGGACATACCCTGACATCACTAAACTGAGTGCAAGCTACACAGTCAGTACATGGCTTCTCCTTCCTGGGCTGGATGTGGATAAGTAGCCTCTTCCTCATCTGTCACTCGTCTCTCTGCCCTTGCAAAGCCAAAGCCAGGTTCTCTGGCCTGTTCCCTTTGGGTAGCACAGGTGGAGCAGAAAGCAGTCCTATTTATTCTTTTCTTCACTGGGTATTTCCCTGAGGTGGCACACTTTCCAAAAGCACAAACTGCAGTAACCATCTCATAATGTCCATTCCTTTGCTTTAAGGAAGAAAATCTGTGCCATTTCGTTTGTGTATTTTCTTTCCAGCCTGGCTCACATACAGGCTGGAATAACTACTGCAGGCTAATTGATGGCACTGTAGAGAGAGCCTCCAAAATTGAAGACAATCCCTAAATTATCCTAATTTCTTCTAAGCTAGAAGCTGAAGTGTTTGTAGAACCTACCCCTGACAAAAGGAGAGCTATGTGGTATAGATGCAGCTTTTTTTTAATAGCTACACATAGGAAGGTTGTGTCC